GTGCGTGTGTGCGTGTGCGTGTGCGTGTGCGTGTGCGTGTGGGTGTGTGTGTGTGTGTGCAAGTGTGTGCAAGTTTGTGTGTGTGTGTGTGTGTTGAAGTGTGCAAGTGTGCATGTTTCCAAAAGTGTGCGTGCGTGCGTGCGTGCGTGCGTGCGTGCGTGCGTGCGTGGGTGCGTGTGTGCGTGGGTGCGTGTGTGCGTGGGTGCGTGTGCGCGCGCGCGTGCGCGTGTGTGTGTGTGTGTGTGTGTGTGTGTGTGTGTGTGTGTGTGTGTGTGTGTGTGTGTGTGTGTGTGTGTGTGTGTGTGTGTGTGTGTGTGTGTGTGTGTGTGTGTGTGTGTGTGTGTGTGTCTGCGTGTGTGTGTGTGTGTGTGTCTGTGTGTGTGTGTGTCTGTGTGTGTGTGTGTCTCTGTGTGTGTCTCTGTGTGTGTGTCTGTGTGTGTCTGTGTCTGTGTGTCTGTGTCTGTGTCTGTGTGTGTTTGTCTTGGCCTTTTTCTCAGAACCGAAGCGTCGCCTCGCTGTTGCTCACACTGCGTCCGAGAAGACCATGGAGCGGTGTGGGTCTTGGCGCGTTGTACGGGGGCAAGACGCTCACCTGGGATGAGTCCAGCATATGAAGCAGGGCAGCTGCCCGTGGAGAGCCAGTACTGCGGACGGTGGGAGACAGTGGGTGGGCTGGACACCCTAACCATGGTGCAGCACTGACGGGCCACTGACCCAATGCCCTGCTGTGATCCTGCTCTTAGCCGGTGAATCATGCCCTGCGGGTAGCTTGCATGATGAAAACCTCCTCTCCCATCTAGCTCGACCAAGGTTAGCGCATGGAATTTATCAATTTCGAATTAACATCTGCGTGAGCCTCCCTGCGTGATGCCAACACTTATGATGATGCATGATGCATGCCAGTGTACATGAATTCAAGCGTGTTTGTCACACACACACAGCATTCCCAGGGTTGGAGGCCTACTAGGGACCTGTACCTGCCCACTGGCCACAGGCGTGCCCACAACCAGCTGTCCCCCAGTGGCCTCCACCCACAACCAGGGAACCACAGCTTCAGTCGCAACACTTGATGCCATGAGAGACCAGGAGGAGAAATACCCTTGCCTAATGGACACAGGCGTGCTCTGACCCCTCTCGGTCGCCTGGTTTCACCTTAAGAAAGCTGCTACTGGATGTTAGCGCATTGTATCAGTGCTTCGTCCTGTGGTACACTTGAATCGTTCTTCTCCCGTGTGAACATCTGGCCATCCCACTTTTCCTGACTTGCGAAACGGGTGGGAAAAAACCCTAAACCCTAAACCCGAACCCTGAACCCTAAACCCTAAACCCTAACCGCCGAAACCTGGGGAACCCTGGAGCCTGCATGGATGATCTGGTTGCGACACGTCGGACCGCCTAGTCGCTAAGTCACTGACTCTTTTTGGGTACCCTGTTTGGGGTTCCCTTTAAAGGGGATTCTATTCTGCTTGGGGTCCAAAATGGGTGCCCCTGTTTTGCGAAATGCCCATGCTGCCGCCGCTGCCATGGGTGGGTGTTTTTGGGCTTTTGCTGCTTTGAGTTATTTCGGCCTATTCAGCACCGCTGACAGAAGCTTCTTTCCTTTTCATGTTTCAGATTTTCGCTTCTCGGTCAAAGCGTCGGCATAGCTGTGCATGCGCAGCTCACTTCTTTGCCTACACATAAGTGGATGCCCGATGTGGGCGGTAATGAGAGATGCTTTGTCTAACTGTTGGAATAAGGTACCCTATATCATCTCTTACAGGGTATATACAGGGGGATATAGGGTACCTCATTCCCTCTTTCCCTACAAACCCGAAACCCTAAAGGCGAAACCCCAAACCCGAAACCCTAAACCCTAAGCCGTGTGTTGTTGACAGCAGCATGGGAGCACCTCCCCTGCCCTGGCATTGAGAGGCACAGACATATAGGGCCGCATCAATGAGGGCAACCCCCCACACCTCCCTGAATGGGCTGATTGGCGTTTCTTCGGTTTGGGCTTGGTTCCGGGAAGGTGTGGGGACAACTATGACGGTATGATTTCCTAACCTTCATGCCGAAGGCGATTTCCCAAGGTGCATTTCAACCAAACCTTGGATCCTTTTCCAATTCTCCGAAACCGACCTACAAACCCCGCATTGCCGTGGCTAGTCGGGTGCCAAAAAAACAAGCCCTAAACCCTCAACCCTAAACCCTCAACCCTAAACCCTAAACCCTAAACCCTAAACCCTAAACCCTAAACCCTAAACCCTAAACCCTAAACCCTAAACCCTAAACCCTAAACCCTAAACCATAAAACCTAAACCCTAAACCCTAAACCCTAAACCCTAAACCCTAAACCCTAAACCCTAAACCCTAAACCCTAAACCCTAAACCCTAAACCCTAAACCCTAAACCCTAACCAACAGTAAGTTGTTAGTCCTCACTGCCAAGGCTGGCTCTCACTGGACTCTGCCACGGGCAAGTTGTCGATGGATCTTGGCGTCTGGGGGAACGAAGGCCCCTCAACTGGGATGTGGGCTCCTAGATCCCTAAACCCTAAACCCTAAACCCCACTAAGGTTTAGGGGGCTTAGGCTGTTGTGTGTTTGGGTTGGGTCGGCACTGCATTGAGAAGCTTGTGGCATTTGAGCAGTTTAGTTCTCAAGGGAAGATGACAAAAGCAGTGAGAAAATGCCAGAGCCAGTGATAAGAAGTGTTGAGTATGTACGTAGATCAACGTTTCCTGACCAGGTGGCGTGAAGGACAACAAGGGCAACAACATGGGCGCAGGCACTGTTGGGAGGTTTCTTTAGGGTTGAGGGTTTTAGGGGTAGGAGTTAGGGAGTTTGGGGAAGTTTGGTAAATTTGGGGGGGACTTCGTGGCTGTTGGGTTTCGAGGGTGTAAAGGTTCCGGGCTTAGACCCTTTCAGGGGCCTTTCTCAGGGCAGGCACGATATTTGTTTTGGTTTCTTCGGGTGGGTTGCAGCTAATGAGTTGCTTGTCGCACCCCCTGTCAAGAAAGTTTGCATTTCAGAAGCTACTCCGTTTCCGAAAATGAGGGGGGGGGGGGGGCCTTTTCGGGGGTCCCTTTAAGGGGTCCTATTCTATTTGGTGTATAAACGGGGTACCCCTTTTTTGGGAAAATACCCAACTTGTCCCCCCCCAACGGATCAGATTCCAGGTGCCGTTTGTTCAGTGGAGAAGGGCGGCGACGCACGGCTCAAGCTACAGTTTGATAGGTCGGCGCCTTCTTGTCCTAGGTAGGATTAGGGGGACCCTTCTTAACCCTCTTCTGGCTCTCTGAAACAGGCACCTCATTCTGAGGGTCTATATCCCCAAGCGTCCCCCTAATCCTGTCCCCTATCTTCATGGAGTTAGTGAAGTTGTCCTTGCGTCTTGTAGGGGCTGGTTCTGCACCATCATCAACAAAGTCTTTTGTTTGATGGCCCTGCATTGAGCTTAGGGCTTAGGTTTCGGCAGAGGGCCAGGGAAATATAGCTCCCTCGCCATTATTGCCAGTTGCTCTTGTTTCGTGTACCCTCCTTCGCTTTAGGTTCGTCACTTAGACCGATGAAATGGGACAAAAATGCTCCTAGAGGCTGTGGTGAATCTGCAAGCGAGATGTGGAAGCAAATATGGACTGGAAGGAGCCACAGACGAGGGTTTTTGCGTTGATCCTGTGAGGTGTCCCAAGCTCAAGGAATATCACAGGATATCGCAGAACACCTCGAAGCTTGCGCGTCCTGAACAGCTTGAGCCTTCTCCAAGGCCAAAGGCAGCGTGGTGGTGCTGTTTCCTCTTTTCTCCGTCCAGTGGCCATATTACAGCTGCTCGGCCGCATGTCGCCCATCGCTTCAAGCTTGGCTTTGTCGTCTTGCAGGGGATGTGGAGATGTTCAGAAAGCTTACTTGCCCAGGCCGTGTGGGTTTCGGGCGTGAACTGCCAATCCCATGCGCAAGGAGCTATATTCTTGCCCGACTGCTCCGCGAAAGAAACGCCGAAAAGCATCTGCTTTTCAAGCTACGCAAGGCATCCCAACTGAACCCAAACCCCAGGAACCTACACCCTACATCTGATTGTCTTGAGCCCACAAAGCCTTGATCCTCTTCTGCAGCGCAACGATTTCTCAGGCTATCACAGGGGTGATGTCGTGTACGCCGCACGGTTGACCTTCGGCACATGCCTTTTCGACTTCTCCGATTTGTGCAGAAGTTGCTTATAAAGTGTTGTTTTGGGCTTAGGAAACACAAGCCAATCCCAGCACCCAGATCCAAGGCCACCGTCGGGGAGAAGTCGCCGGTTCTGCCCGACCTGTCCGTGACACAGGGGCACGCATTTGTCGAACCCAGACCGGGGCCCAGCTGTTGCGTTCCTCAAGTCCTGCTCACCTTTTGTAGTAGGGTCCTTAAGGAAGGGGGGTTCAAAGGGGGGTATGTAGCCGAAGGTTCCCCAATACTCCCCACTACTCCCGAGGGTCCCCTAAGCTATGTTTAGGGTTTAGGGTTTGGGGTTTAGGGTTTAGGGTTTAGGGTTAATCTTTTTTGGTTCCTTGCCGCAATGATGGCTTCACCTGGCATGCTTGTCAGGTTTTAGGTTCAGCTGCAGGCAAATTTTGGAGCATGGAAGTGGATCCCCACCTAAGTTCACCCTATAATGAATGCCAGGAATCACCCTAACACACACACACACACAGAGCAAGTAGCGCCCCCGGCCTCCCAGGCGTTCTGCCTACGCGCTATTCCGCCAACTGTTCGGGCACCGGTTTTGCCTTCGACGTGTTGACCGGTGCCTCCGGCGGAAATGAGGGGAGGTGACTAGGCTTTGGGGCCTCATTGGACTTTGCCTTGTTCTTGGCCAGACCGGCCTCTACAGACACTGGCGCCCCAATCAACACGCATCCGCGACTCACTGTGACCGTAGCGCTCTGTGGCTGATGCCTCAGCAGCTGAGGGAACTCAACGATCCTTTAGAACCACTTACCTGAGGATGCGTGCTCGTGCTGAAATGGCCCGAACACGAGCCAGAACTCCTCAATCCTAAATTGTTTTCCGAAATACAAAGCTGACTCCGACTACAGCCTTTGTAGCGATGATGCAGACTACCAAAAAAAGCGAAATAGGTCCCTATATTTGCAAGTCGCACCAGCCATGTTTTGGGCTTGGAAAACGTGAGGCCCATGGAGGGTTAAGAAGTTGGGCCTAAGCCTGTTTTGAGGGCTCCCCCTCGACGTCATATCTTGAAGACAGCCCTCCACCAAGAAAGTGGCCTCAAGGCCTCAAAACCTACCTCACCAGGTCTGGCGACATGGGAAGGCCACCAGCACCTTGTCAGCACAGCACACTTTTGTTCTTTGAAGTTTCGGTTTAGGACTTCTAAACCCTGACTTGCCTCGCCCGCTTATGCCAGTGTGAGAGTCGAAACCCTGAACCCTAAACCCTAAACCCTAAACCCGCTGTCGAAGGCGGGGGCAGAAATCAGAAACAAGGTTGAAGGCAGAGACTCTAAGAGGCCCAGTGCCTACGGAGGGTCTGAGCGACAGTGCCATAAGCCAGGAGGGCCCCAAAGCCCCCTACTTGAAGGTTCATGGTACTTACTAACCACTTGTAACTGTACTTATAACCCTACGTATAATACCCCGAAAAGGCCTTATAGGGGTTATCCCAATTATCCCAATTATAAGTAGGGTTATAAGCCCAGTTATAAGTGGCTATTAAGTCCCATGAACCTCCAAGTAAACCCTAAGGGTCCCAAAGCCCGAAACCATAAGAAAGAGGATCTTCCAGCTGGATATTGTCAACGGGGACTTTCAGCTCAACCCAGAAGAGTCCCTGACCAGGATCTCCCACACTCTGAGAATGGCCGCAAGATCGCAGCCCTATAGTTGGGGTTTGGGGTTTAGGGCTTAGGGTTGCGCTCCTCTAGAGTCCGCGTTGCCCGCTCTTGAATGGCATGGTTTCGTCCCAGGCAGTGCAGCAGTCCTAGCCGTAAAAAGGGTTCTGCTCCTCTTGCGGCAGGAGTTTGGATCACACTGGAGCCCCCTGGCAGCCTACACCGTTTGCATAAGGGCCCTCACGCAACCTTTGTTGAGTCCAGGTCGTTGTGGGAATGCAGTGGAGCACTTCTTTTCACGCGAGCCTTTCACGAGAGCGTGTGCAGAACCCATAACCCCAAACCCTAAATAAGGACAGCGCAACCCGGCGGAGCATTGGGCCCCTTGCGTGCACGATCTTCAAGCACTTCGAGCGGCTCAGCTGTGAAGAAGAAGCCCCAAGGCCCTGGCTCCTCAGTCCCTGAACCCTAAAAAACCGACGGGTTCAGTTACGGGGGTGGGTTTACATCGTAATTTACAGGGTTTCGTGCTTTAGAGGCCGGGAAAAAACACTTATTGAGAGTCTGCTTCTGGTGTGGAAGGTTCGGGTTGTGTGATTGATCAGAATCCTGTGTTTCCAGGAAGCAGAAAGCCTAAGCCCCCGACTCAAAAGCATGAACCACCCACTATATAGACCCTAAGCAGAGAATCGGCAAAGCCCAAACTCAAAAAAAAAACACAGCAGCATACGCTGTGCACTGCAGAGGCAAGGCCTGCGTGGCTAGAAACGAAAGGTGTCTTTTTTTGAGGTTGGCATCCATTGCTTCAGCATCCCGAAGCAATCCCTAGCCACAGATTTGTTCTAACCCTTCCCCCCCCCCCAACCACCCTTCCCCCTAACCTTCCCCGAACTGGCCCCCCAACCTTTCCTGCCCCCGCCCGCCCCGCCCCACACCCCCCCCCCTCCCCGAAAAACTCCACTCACCCAGGAAGAAACGAAAAACACATTTGGGGTTAGTTGTAGGTAACGGAGGAAGGTCATGAAACATGTCTCGATTCTGCCAAGCAAGGCACGATTTGCGAGACGTCGCACAAGACACACATGAAAACCATGCACCAAACGGGCAGTCCCGTTTGGTAGTTGAAAACGCCAAAAACGGACCGTATGACAATACACAAAGCAAACAGCGGACATGTTGAGAAAGTCTCGAAAGCCTCACGCAGGCCAATGTTTTCACCATGCACCTTTTGCAAGGAGGAACACACATCTCACAGATTCGTTCTTTCCCTCCCCCCAACCCCTCCCCCCCCTTCCCCCCGAACAAACCCACTCTGACTCCCCGGCGACTCCACCCAGAATAAACGAAAAACACGCAAAACGCGCCGCGCGTAGGTAACACAGAAAGGCCATGAAACATGTCTCGATTCTACCACGCAGGCCAAGCATTTCGTGACGTTGCGCAAGACACACACGAAACCATGCACGAAAAGGGGCACCCCTTTTGGGAGTTGAAAACGCTGAAATCGGAACATGTGACAACACACACAGCAAACAGCGGACATGTTGACAAGCAGGCCAATGTTTTCAGCATGCACCGTGAACAAGGAGGAACAGCGCAGGGGACAAGACGCTGTGTTGACCCGAAAAACCATCCCCGCAACCCGAACCGCCAGGCTAAACCCTAAACCCGTAACCCTAAACCCTAACCCCTTCCCCAATCTGCAAGTCCTATGACCCTGCATTGAACGGGCTTTGTATACGGCCAGGGAAGTCCGAGCAACGTAAGACTGGGTTTTTTTTGATTGGGAAGGAGGGTGGTGTATCATTAGGGGATGGTACATATCACCTCGATCGAAACCTCGATCCCAAGCGGCCTTGAGGAAGTCATATCTTTGGTCATTCTGCAACCATTGCCTTTCCACTTAGATGCCTTCCCAAACCACCTTCCCAGTCTGCAAGCCCAACTCCCAAACCCCCAAACCTTGCACCTATGCAAAAAAAGATCCCAGGTATCCGCCTCTGGGACGCGGAATCGCCCTCCACCACCAACTGCAGATCGAACTGAGGGAGCACCGCTAGAAGTTTCGTGTCTAGGAAGTGGTCATGTGGGGTACAGGGTATGCAGGTATGCATAAAGTTATTTTTGTTGCGTTGGTGGCTGAGTCTCCCGTTTTGGGAGTGCGAGTTCGACGTGATCACCGCTCCTTACAATCTGTAAATTCCGTGTCCTGGGATGCCAAGTACTAGCAGCATGCCCTGTCGTAGGGGGTTAGGACCTCTCATGAACCCCAGAAGTTCGTAGGTTACTGTGCCACCCCGAGCCGTTGCCCGCCTACGATCCGTCTAACCCTACGAAACCCTCAACCCCCTACAACCCTGAGCCCTATTCTGGACTTTCCTCTGCAACCCTAAACCCTAAACCCCCCTATGCTGGACTTCTCCTCTGCAGGACCACACCTGCTGGGCCAAGAAGGTCCAAAGCTTCGCCAGTCGCACCGACAAGGACTGATGGGAGGGGGTTTGCGTGAATAAGGGACCCCTAATAGTAGGATTCCTTTATGATAAGGACCCCAATAGGGTACCCCTAACTTTCGGAAACCGCCCATATAACACAACGGCATAATCACAGAACAGTAATAGACGAACAACAAGAGCGCGCCAGCGGCTGTTCAAGCGCGCCGATGGCGAGAAAGACCGGCCCTGTCGATGTTTGCATGGTTTAGGCCACACGCCGTCCCTTGTAATGAAACTCTTGCGATTTTTTCGAAAAGTCGTTGCGCCAAAACAATATTGCGTTGGTAGCAGGGGCGTTATCATTGCCCTCTTTGCAATTCGCACGCACTGGCAGCAGTTGAAGACACTGGCGAACGCAAGTGTTTTCGGCATGTGACCCACGCGAGACACTGTAGACACCGCCGTAAGCGATGTGCGTGCGCTGCACGTGAAAAAGCCGCCGGAGGGAACAACAGAGAATGATAAGACTATCAGACTGTTGTCGCGGTGTAGGGAAGCCAAGAGCCGCAAGAGGAACCCAACAGGGCCGTCAAAATGGGACCTAAAGGATGAAGCCAAAGGAGAAGGGGAGGTGGGGGTGCGCTGAATCGAGTGGATCCCAAAAATTCCGAGAGCTTAGAAGACTCTTATTTCAGGTGGGGCTTACAGGGCGTTTCCCAATCCAATCAACGCTCAGCAGTCACTCAAAAGCCATCACCCTTGCACTGCAGGAATCCACAAGAAGACACAAACATATACAAAGAGCTTGCAAGATAGCAGGCTCGGGGGTTCGCTTCCGGCACAATCAGAGCCTCCCTGCTCGTCTTCGGGGGGCCGCTTCAGGCACACGGGCTCAGAGCCTCCCAGCTGATGCTCATGATGCTCGTGTTCGGGGGTTTGCTTCCAGCACACGGGCCCAAAGCCTCCCAGCTGATGCTCATGATGCTCGCGTTCGGGGGGCCGCTTCAGGCACACGGGCTCAGAGCCTCCCAGCTGATGCTCATGATGCTCGTGTTCGGGGGTTTGCTTCCAGCACACGGGCCCAAAGCCTCCCAGCTGATGCTCATGATGCTCGCGTTCGGGGGGCCGCTTCAGGCACACGGGCTCAGAGCCTCCCAGCTGATGCTCATGATGCTCGTGTTCGGGGGTTTGCTTCCAGCACACGGGCCCAAAGCCTCCCAGCTGATGCTCATGATGCTCGCGTTCGGGGGGCCGCTTCAGGCACACGGGCTCAGAGCCTCCCAGCTGATGCTGATGATGCATCCCAGCTGATGCTCATGATGCTCGCTGTTCGGGGGTTTGCCCAGCACACGGGCCCAAAGCCTCCCAGCTGATGCTCATGATGCTCGCGTTCGGGGGGCCGCTTCAGGCACACGGGCTCAGAGCCTCCCAGCTGATGCTCATGATGCTCGTGTTCGGGGGTTTGCTTCCAGCACACGGGCCCAAAGCCTCCCAGCTGATGCTCATGATGCTCGCGTTCGGGGGGCCGCTTCAGGCACACGGGCCCAAAGCCTCCCAGATGATGCTCATGATGCTCGCTGTTCCGGGGGCCGCTTCAGGCACGCGTGCTCAGAGCCTCCCAGCTGATGCTCATGATGCTCGTGTTCGGGGGTTTGCTTCCAGCACACGGGCCCAAAGCCTCCCAGCTGATGCTCATGATGCTCGCGTTCGGGGGGCCGCTTCAGGCACACGGGCTCAGAGCCTCCCAGCTGATGCTCATGATGCTCGCTGTTCGGGGGTTTGCCCAGCACACGGGCCCAAAGCCTCCCAGCTGATGCTCATGATGCTCGCGTTCGGGGGCCGCGTCAGGCACACGGGCTCAGAGCCTCCCAGCTGATGCTCATGATGCTCGTATTCGGGGGTTTGCCCCCCAGCACACGGGCCCAAAGCCTCCCAGCTGATGCTCATGATGCTCGCGTTCGGGGGCCGCTTCAGGCACACGGGCTCAGAGCCTCCCAGCTGATGCTCATGATGCTCGTATTCGGGGGTTTGCCCCCCAGCACACGGGCCCAAAGCCTCCCAGCTGATGCTCATGATGCTTGCTGTTCGGGGGTTTGCCCAGCACACGGGCCCAAAGCCTCCCAGCTGATGCTCATGATGCTCGCGTTCGGGGGCCGCGTCAGGCACACGGGCTCAGAGCCTCCCAGCTGATGCTCATGATGCTCGTGTTCGGGGGTTTGCTTCCAGCACACGGGCCCACAGCCTCCCAGCTGATGCTCATGATGCTCGCGTTCCGGGGGCCGCTTCAGGCACGCGTGCTCAGGGCCTCCCAGCTGATGCTCATGATGGGGGGAAGGTGTCAAGCTTTGGTTTCGGGCCGAGGACTCAACTGTAAATGGTTTGGCCTGTCTACTATTCTGTTTTCTCTTACAGTGCATACCACGAATGTATTGTCTCACACCCCAGGTTTTATACATTGGCATGTCGTTTTACTTTTTGTATTATGGCAAGATTATCCTTAGGGAAAGATCTGTATGGTAGCATAATCCGTATAATCAGACTAGCTATGTATACATATACATATACATTTACATTTACATATTTAATGGCTACCGCCAGTGCCGCCGACCCCAAACCTCCCAAGCTCCACCGGCGCACAGTGCCGAGCCCAGGTGCCAGCAGCAACAGAAAACGGGTGTCAGGCGTGTGCGGCACGGAAGACCAACGCGCGTGCCAGGAAGCTGGCTGCGCGGGCGAGCCGGGTGCGGACAAGCAAAGTGCCAATGCCTCTGCGCGCAGCAAGTAACGCCGGAGACCATCCTAGCACAGGAATGCGCGGTGTGCTGCGCCGAGCGTGCTTCGCGCCGATTAGTAGCCGAATCGTCGCACGATCCCCGATTCTTGGGTCGCTTCGTCCTCGCGCCCTCCATCTTCGCCACGAACGTACGGAAATGCCACACGAACAAAATCCGCGCCGAGGCTTTCGCGCGTCGCACGAAACGGCATTTGCACTACGTCGTGGCCCAGGATTGCGCTTGTGCGGCCGTCGTGCGCGAGAAACCGGACCTGGCCGAGCAGAAACTGCTCTGGCTGCAACGCCATGACCGGGAGTGCGGCGAGCTGTGTGGCATGCTGCCGCTGTGCGACGGCATGCCGGTGCTTTTGACGGACCATCTCAACCGTGCGCGCGGGCTCCTGAAAGGACGGCGGGGCTTCGTCACGGGTTGGCGCCACGCTACTGATGGCGCCGAACCGGCGGGGCCCGGCTGCACGGTCTGGAACCAGCTGCCCGAAGTAGTTTACGTGCGCTTCCCTGGCGCGAAGTGGCGCATTACTGGGCTGGCCACGGGCGTGTATCCCGTTGTGCCAAAGCGTGCGACGTGGCATCTGGATGCCGGCCGAAAATCGCCGGTGCTGGCAGTCCGTCGACGGCAACTTCCCCTAATACCAGCTTTCGCTATGACGGCGCATCAAGCGCAAGGACAGACGCTGGAGGAAGGCATCGTCGCAGATCTGTGTTATGGCGCGTACAGCAACGTCTTGGCCGCCTACGTTGCCTTGACGCGGGTCACGAGCCGGGAAGGCGTTCTCATTCTGCGGCCCTTCGATGCGGCTCCATTCCAGCAAGGCGACACCAGCTTCCGAGCGTTGTTGATGCAGCACTTGCGCACGCATGACGTCAACTGGGATGCCATCGTGCAGAGGTACGTGCGTGTCAAGACCTGCAGCGAGTGTCGCACGGAGCGGTTAAAGTCAGCTTTTACAGCAGGACAGTGGAAGCAGCCGGACGAGGTGGGGATCTGCAAGGAGTGCACGAAGTCGTACCGAGAGCGCGGCACGCCGTACCGCTGTAGGCGCTGCAAGCGATGGCAGGCACCGGAGGCATTTCCCGGAAAAATCAGCAATTATCTGATCTGGCAGAGCACCTGCTGCATGTGCCTGGAGAAGCGGCAATGCGGAACTTGCGAGCGCTGGTATCCGCAGGCAGCGTTCACGCACAATGGCTGGCGCCAGCAACGGGATCGGACGTGCAACGTGTGCCGCCAGCAGCTGCGGTGCCGAGATATTGGCCTGCGCGCGCGCCGCAGGCTGCACAACCGACGGGAAAAGGTGCGCGCAGCAGACCGCTGCAGGAAGCGGCTGCAGATTCTACAGGAGGTGCGAGCCGAAATCGAGAAACGGCAAAAGCAAGGAAGCGGCACCGGCGCACAGTGCCGAGCCCAGGTGCATGCCAGCAGCAACAGAAGACGGGTGTCAGGCGTGTGCGGCGTGCTGCGCGGGCACGAACAGCGAAATGGGGGCACCGAGAGAGTTGGCGCCGGGCGGCGGCATGCATGACCGTAGAGGAAGTCCGGCCTGCGAGCCCGAGCGCGCGCGCTGCCCCGCCCTGAATGCAAGCTGTTGCGATGGAAGTCAAAGACGGCCGTGTAGACGTCGCGTACGAATGCCCGCAGTGCAAGGCCAAGGTCGACTCAGCCGTGCGAGACGGACGCATCGACAAGCGACGGAAATGCGGACACCAGTTTAGGGTCGCCGCAGGCAAAGTCGTGGCGACCCGGTCGGCGATCACATGCTTCTCCTATGAGTGCCCACAGTGCAAGGCCAAGGTCGAAACAGCCGTGCGAGACGGACGCATCGACAATCGACAGAAATGCGGACACCAGTTTAGGGTCGCCGCAGGCAAAGTCGTCGCGACCCGGTCGGCGACCACACGCTTCTCGTATGAGTGCCCACAGTGCAAGGCCAAGGTCGAAGCAGCCGTGCGAGACGGACGCATCGACAATCGACGGAAATGCGGACACAGGTTTACGGTCGCCGCAGGAAAAGTTGTCGCGACCCAGTCGGCGACCGCACACTTCTCGTATGAGTGCCCGCAGTGCAAGGCAAGGGTCGAGTCTACCAGGCGAGACGGATGCATCGACAATCGACGGAAATGCGGACACCAGTTTAGGGTCGCCGCAGGAAAAGTCGTCGCGACCCAGTCGGCGACCGCACACTTCTGGTATGAGTGCCCACAGTGCAAGGCAAGGGTGGAGTCTACCACGCGAGACGGATGCATCGACAATCGAC